ACACGTGTTTGTTGTTTAATGAAGGGAGGAAGTTTGGTTCAAATTGTGTTCTGGAAGTTCTAACCTGAACTGCAGCTGGTCCTTTATAGTCAGAGTTGTGTGTCTAATGTGTGTGCATGCGTATGTGTGTGTGTGTGTGTGTGTGTGTGTGTGTGTGTGTGTGTGTGTGCGCGTGTGTGTGCGCGTGTGTGTGTGTGTGTGTGTGTGTGTGTGTGTGTGTGTGTGTGTGTGTGTGTGTGTGTGTCATGGACCAGTGTTATGACATTTTCTGCAGCCACTGGATTCTGTTACTGGGCAAGCTTCAGGGAAGTGGGTCAGAACTTTGAAATTTTTTATTTTATTTTTCAAAATATAGCTTGATTGAGCAGCAAGAAAGAGATCACGTATTGCACCTTTAATAGTCGTTTTACAATTTATTACATGTTTATATGTAATGCAACAATTCTTAAATATAATTGGCACTTGCTTTCTCCAGTACATCTAATCTCACCCAGAGGATAGTCTACATTTAAAGGATTTGGTCATTAAATGTGAAAAAGTGAAGCCTTCATCTCCTGTTTATGGGTGCTACAAAGCTATTCTGGAACTGGGGACTAAACAGCTGAGAGGTGGGATTGAAAACCCTGCCTACTCCCCTTCACATGTTTGCTTTTTTATTCTGATTTGCAGCTAAGCTAAAAAAGAATGACCTGAATCAGCAAAAGTCAACACCCAGAAAAATGGAGTGTTTATTTATATTTTTGCCTTAGTTGAACTGGAAGCCGTAGCACTTACAGGTTCCAATGCTGGGTCCAGTTAATAAAAACACTCACAATTTGATAAAGCAGATTTTGAGGAAAGTGCTGACTATGCAAAAAGTAGAAGTTATTCAAATAAAGTACATTTGTTATTGTGTAGTTAAGCGTTTACTGAGATGTTGTATGATTTCATGGGAAATTACTAATGAGAACTTTGTAACTGGAATCTCACAACTGAAGACACTTTTATAAATATTCTTATATTCAGGGAATAATACCCAAGTCAAATGATTAAAACCTTTATATTGCTGACAGTAAAGTAATCTGAAATCACTAACCCTCTGGTAGTTCAACTGTTTTTGTTTGCTTTTTTATGAGCTTCATCTTTTGTGTGTATTCATTGTGATGAACATTCTGGAAAAAGATGAGATTAATCACAATCACATGTGCATTTGGGACTTATTTGTGTTTTCTTTGACATTAATATACTTTTCATATCTTATATTTAAAAAGTTCTTTATTTTTTGATCAAACTCCCCAAGAGTCTGATTGTTACACATTGACTTGGGTAGATATTTTCAAACCATTAGAACAATACATTTTTTACAGTAAATATTAATTCTGACAATTTTCTTCACAATGATGAAAAACATCCTGAAACATTGCCTTGTAGTTAACTGATTATTCTTAAGTTTTTATTGTCAGGCTGAGATGTTTATATGTTTAAGTGTGTTTATAGTTATACTTCTTATCAGTTAAGTGTCTCCCATAGGGAACACCAAAACACATTCCCTGTGAGTGTAACAGCAGACTAAGGAATAAACCCGATTAAACATTTTTGCTTGACAGCCTTAGTGTTGGTTGTTTTGTGTTTTTTTTAGAGCCACTGTATTCCATGACCTTGTTTTCTATTATAATATAAATTATATTTATACAATCTATAGGCTTTTGTATTTTCATTCACTGGCCTAGTGGTATGAGTGTCCACCCTGAGACTGGGAGATCGTGGATTCAATTCCACGATCGGGTCAAACCAAAGACCGTAAAAATGGGACTCAGTGCTCCTCTCATGACTAGGGATTTGCATTGGGGGGTTAAACCACAAAATTGTTCCCGAGTGCAGCCACAGCTGCAGCTCACCGCTCTCCACGTGATTTGTCAAAAGCAGAGAACAAATTTCACCAGTGACGATTATGACTAATGGGACTTTAACTTAATGTTTTAATTTGGACATTTATTTGGAACAAGAAAAACCCGCAAATTAAGGCAGCCATTATTCCTTTTACCTTTTAGGTGTTTATAACTGGTCCATTTGAGTTTGTTGAATTCATGAAGGCCTGTCATGTTCTGTGTTCCTTTGTTCCCCAGCCCCTCCAGTTCCCACTCCAGGTTCTCCTTTTGGGTTTCATAGCGCCCTCATGTGTCCTTTGTCTGCGTCTCATTTATGTGTCTCTTTGTGGTCCTCATTTGTCCCCTGGTCTTCAGCCTTCCAAATATATCTCTCAGGTCCTGTGTTCCTTTAGTCTTCTCCAGTCACCCCTCTGTAGCCAGACTTCCCTCTGCAGTGTCAACACATTCTCACACCCTAAGCGTCGGAAACAAATGCTTGGTCAGCCACCCTCCACGTCAGACCTCAGACGCCAAAAGTGCCCTTTTTCGTTACTTAGCGGTCCAAAAAAAATCTCCAAAGTGCATCAAAGAGTTTCATGGAGCACAGTGAAAGCAGGCCGTCCTGCTGGGAGCAGCTGCCATTTGGAGTGAAAGATATTCATTGAGCCTTACTTTGCAGCACAGTTTGAAACATGGTCTAAACACACATTCATCAGAGAGTGCAGGTTTCAAAGGAAACTGAGTCATTGAGTCACTTCAAGTATCATTTTCAAGGTTTTTTCATTTTTCTTTTCTGCTCTAATGGGTGTAAATGAACCTTCTAAGGATTTTGTTTGTATTGGGTTTAGTGGTCAGCATTTGTCTCTACTGATTCTGGAACTGTTTAATTCCTACCAATTAAAAAGGTTTCAGGGTGAAACTTTAAAGATTGGCAGATTAATCTGCCTGAAGGCTGATTTATGATAAACATTTCCTGTTTAATGAGACCAGAGTGAGAAAGCAGACCCAAAGCTGTGTACAATGGAAAATCATTCATTTGTGAGTGTGTTCCTGAAAACAAGCACGAGTCTAAAATTAATTGAATAATAATAAAAAAAACATTAATTTGAGCTTTTTATGGCATGAATGTACAAAATAAAAAAAATTAAAAACCACTGTTTATTAAATTTACAAATGCACTTTTATTGTTTCAAAGTGCAGAATTAATTCCAAAAAACATTTATTTATTGAATTAAAAGTCTAAACAATTCTGCTCTAATAGTTTCTCTTTATTTATGTACAAAGATATGCTGGGTCTGCGATGGACTGGCTCTCTGTCCAGGGTGTACCCCATCTGATTGCCCATTGACCGCTGGAGATAGGCACCAGCCCTTCCCCGCGACCCTACGTGGACAAAGCAGGTTCAGACAATGGATGGATATGCTGGGTGAACACAACAATAAACACACAATAAAGGTCAATTCAGAAGCATCACGACAAAATATATGTTATTAACGTGATTTATAATTATGCCTTTTTTCCAAAGCAATTTACAAGTTAGGAGGAAATTAGAGCACCAGGAGGAGCCTACGCATTCATGGGGAACACATGCTAACTCCGTGTAGCTGGGATCCCTAGCTGGGATTTGAACCTGTGACCTTCTTGCTGCGATTGTGGAAGGAAAAGGAGAATTTAGAGAAAATTCACATATGCTGAGTTTCAGCTGATATTCAAAGAGGGCCCTTCTAGCAGGGCTGGTTGATCATGGAAATATTAAGCACAACTGATAACAGAATAAGTAGAGATAGTGGTAGAAGAGTTAAATGTCTGCATTTCAAATCAGAAGGTTGCAGGTTCAAGCCCCACACAGTCTGTTGCTGTTGCTGTGTAGTTATTAGTTTATGTCAACAGGTGTCATAGTTTTGCTTAGCCATATAAACATGTAGACACCAACTAATTAAACTTCAACTTCAGGATTGATGAATCACTCATAATAAAAAATAGAAAAAGAAAAAAACTGTTGTGCTACAAAAGCAGAGAAGAGCCGCTACAGTCGCAGTTGGTGCTCATTAAATGTTTAAAATTAGAAAATATCAATAGACCACAGAGCCACAGAGTAGTATTTGTTAACATAAACATAGTGGTGTTTGCTTAATAACGAAAATGACATACTCACCACTGAAGGTGTCAGTCAGCAGGGCACTGTTTAAGATAAAATGGATAATTTTTCTAACTAAAGGACTAAAGTACCTCTATCTGCTATTGACTCAAAGAAAAGCCCAAGTCTAAATAGTTCAAAGTTCATGCCACAACCTTTTCTCTCAAGTCATCACCATCTTAGTTTCTGCTGCTGTAACATTTTGCCCACCAAACCGAGGTTAGAGCATGGCAAAATCATGTTGCTGCTGCTTCTGTATATCTATATTTCTAGGCAAAATTCGGAGTGACGATCATATTTCAAAGTAACAAGTAAAAAATGGTTTCTCAGTGAACTTGGTCTTTAAAACTGCTTCAACTTTCTAAATTTCCCAGGCGTTCAAGAGAATGTTATTTTAAGACCGTTGCATACTGGTTCATGTTGCATTACACAGCTATTTTAACAAAAATTATTATAAATTCCTAACAGGCTTGACCAGTGGGTGCTCTGGAATTGCTACATGTTGCTGCTGGACAGCAATGGCGCCCCCAAGGGGTGGCCACAGCCACCCCAAGAAAATTGCTGGCCCCCTAGCAAAAGCCAGTATTAATAAATCATATTAATATTAATGTTCACTCAAACCATCAATCGATCTTATTTATTCAAGACATAATTTTAAAACAAAACAAAAATAATACAATTAATGAGTAAAGAAATAATCAGAATAAAAAATACACGTTTCTGCTGCTCTCTGTTTAAAAGTTTTTATCTCTGTACCTTTTTGTGAACACAGCAACAGGTGAATTAAACTAAAAAATAAATTTTAAAATAAAATTTAAAATAACATTTTAAATAAGTGAAATTTATTTTTCTGAAATGTTTGTGTTTGTAAAATTTACATAAAATGTTTTTGATACATACTGTTTTTAAAAAAATAATAAAAAATAAAGGAGCAATGCAATACATTGCCACAGGCTAAACTCTCCCAGAGCTACCACAAGGACCAGTTTGATGTGCCACCCCAAAGATTTCTCTGGCTCCGTCTGGCCACCCCTATCAAAATTTTCTGGAGGCACCCCTGCTGGAGAGTAATCTAAAGGTTGGTAAATAACACCACAAGATTTTTTTCTGAAATTTAGGAGATTTGTGCTGTTTTAAGATGGCAGCAATAAACGTGGTTCTTGGCTGCACTCAGACTAACCCTAAGCTCATCAGTCACACTGACCACCATCTCTATCTGCAAATCAGGAAGCCATCAACATTTAGCAAAACAGCCAGTATATCAGTTTTAAATAAATCAGGTTGCCACCTGTAGCCTTTGGTCTTTTCCACAGCATTTTCATGCAGCGTGATGGAGTGCAGATGACTCAGCTGTGCCAGCTTGTTGAGATCACTCAGACTCTATGTTATTGCCATGAAGGTACAAAACTGCTTTAGCTCACACAGAACCTGAAACATGGACACATGTGACTATTGTGGACAGAAAGGAATAAATAAATTGTAAAGGGTGCATAAATGAGGGTTTAAACTTGTTCAAGAACAACACTGACGGTGCGTTTACATGCACACCAGAAAACTCAACTATTGCCCTTACTATAGCCCTATATATATTTAGTTTTTAATGCATGTAAACAAGTTAATGTTGCTGAAGGCAAACTAGCTCTAATCATGCTGAAGTACTTATGACGCTTACACATCAGCGTCGGCACGGTCGGTACGGGCAGTGTAGTGTTCACATAAATCTGAGGGACTTCTCAAGAATGCATTAATCCTAGAGCCTGTGGGCGGTGCTTAATACACACGGGAATGGCCGCTCCATAAGGTAAACAAATGGCAGACATGAGCTGTGTTGCGTTTGGAGACTCTGAACCACTTTTTATTAATTTGCTGTGTGTGTCCTCATAATCTTGTGAAAATGAATTGCATATGCGGGAAACCCCCCGCTTCCCACAGATTGGAGGTGGTAGGCATAATTTCAGCCAGCCAATCAGTTCGTAGTGTCACCTTGGTCCCAGTCTGACCGCTGGGAAGAAGGTCTGAGAAAAAGAGTCGCATCGGCACCGAAAACGCAAATCAGACCTGTGTGTGAAACCAAATACGTTCGGTACCGTATGGGCCTGTGCTGACGCTAATGTGTAAGCACCACTAGTAAATTCAGTAGGAACCAGACTTCATCTGCATGTAAATGAATCAGTCGAATTGATACCGGTAACTTACGGAAGTGATGGGACCACGTCAGCGCTCTTCTAATAACATTGCCACAAATTAACTCATGTAGCACCATCAAACAGTACAGCACGTACAGTACATGTTGGCCATTCCTCCTGCCATTAAGCATATCCTGTTTTATCTTTGCTTCACTCCTGCCAGTGTTTGTTTTTTGTCACTGTACACAAAACGGTTGCATGTCGCCATCTACTGTACCGGCATGTAAACACACAGACTGAGACATATCCATTTAAAGACAAAAACACTAAATCCTGTGGGTAAATTAATTAACAACAGGGATAAAATCTGATACTCACAGGATCTATAGCTGTTATTTGGTTGAAAGACATGTCCAGCCAGCTGAAATTTGATGGCTGAGCGAGAAAGTGTGCGATCATCAATTCAAGGCCAGAGATATTGGTGAGATTGTTGTTCCTTAGACGTATGGAGCGACTCAGGTACTTCTGCTCTGAGTTTTTCCTCAAAGGACATAGGCCAGTAAGGGGTGTCATTGACATCACATCTGAACGACAACGAGGTGTTTAGAATAAATGAAGCACACCCTATGTCTTCCTCATTGTTTACTCTCATAACTCTGTTGATAAAAGCCATCTATAAATATGATGCACTGTGCATTTTTCACATATGAGAATATATGAATCGTTCAAAAATGTAAGCATCACATTGTGCACTTTTTTAATCAACTGCACATAACGATTTTTGTGAGAATCATCTGATATTCACATTTCTATTTTTATATGAGTATTTAGATGCAGTGTCAAACCACTGGTTAATCAGGGCAAATGTACAAGAAATTGATCGGTGAAGTGTGAGGTGGTAAAATGCTTAAAATGTTCGCGATCAGGCGTGCTCAATTCATTGATCCTATCAACCAGTCCATCACAATGATAGAGCTGGTTGATTGTGAGACAAACACGGGACTTAGTTGAACCACCAATAGAGAACAGAAGTAAAAAAAAAGGCTAAATGCACATGCCGATTACAAAGTCATGTCAGAAGCTCCACGAAAGCAGCTCAAATGTTGTTTTTCTGTAAACTCACATGGCTGCCAAAGATCAGCAAGAGTTTAAGAAGATAAATTTTAATTCATTCACCAAATAATGGTGGGAAAGAAACAAACATAAGAAAAGTTGCAAAGCAAGCACCACAATGTGTCACACTTAAAATCTAATTAGAACAACAATGTTAATAAAAGCAATAATATTATCAAAAATAATTGACAAATCAACCTGAGATGTCTGTGATTTTGTAAAAACAGAAATCCACTGGAGGGCCATTTATTTCCATGGCTGAAGGTCTTGTTTGCATATTTTGAAACAACAGAGTTTTTATCTAACATAGATGTTTGACAAGAATTTCAGAAGAACTTTTATTTAAACATAAACACATAAAAACAAAGAAAAACAAACTGGTTTCTTAGAGATGAAAATTCTACAGTTTGTACTTTTATTCTATTTTCATACTAATTTTATAGTTTTCATAGTCCTTTTTTATGTGAAGCACTTTAAACTTGTACATATTTAATTAAGCAGGTTTATTTAATATGCTTCAGACTGCAGCTCACCTCCACCTGAGGCCCTCCTGTTAAAAGTGTCTAACCTAATCAGTGTCTAGCCTGCTGTCAGTGCAGCTGCTCTGTTGGGGGCGCTGGGGTCATTTTTCCTCAGGCGTTCTACATTCTCACATGAGGAGGGCAGAGAGGTCCCAGAACAGAGAAATCCACCCAAAAAATAATAAACTACAATAAGGCAAAGTGGTTAAAATTATCCTGTTGATTAAAGTACTTCCTAATAAACAGAATTTTAACAACACTGACTAAAACAGTTAGTAGGTCTTGTTGTTCGAGATTCACCCTCTTTTAAAACTTTCATTTGGCTACAAATAAACAAAAAAAATCTATTATTTTAATTTCAGACAATAAAATTGGGTAATTATTAGGTCCTTAAAAGATGTAGTCAGTCAGCAAATTCAAATGTTTAGCGTTTATGTTGCAGTCCCTCCAGCCATGTTTGGGGGTGTGCATGTTCTAGTGTATATTTACGTGGTGAACATGACTTGCTGTTTAGACTGAGCATAAAACTTGAGAAAATAAAAAGTTATTTAATGGACTTCAAATGTGACATGGATTTTAGGATGGATGGATGGTTGCAGTATTTTAGGAACTCCTTCCCACAACCACATCTAGGATCTACAGAGAGGTCATGTGTGCAGCAGCTGTGTGAATGAAATTGCCTTGTTGATGTCAGAGAGAGAGAGAGTAAGTCACCCCCATCTTTGACTAGCATGCTTAACCTTGAAGCAGAGGGGCTACAACAGCAGAAGATCATGCTAGTGTCAATCAATCAATCAATCAAAGCTTTATTTATAAAGCGCCTTCCGCAACCCTGTCAGGAAGCCCAAAGCGCTGAACATGGTACAGTTAAGTAAATATATAGAATAAATCAACAATAAAAGAAATTCAAATTACAAAATACAAATTACAAAGTACAAAATTGAAATTACAAGATAGATGAAGCAGTCTGGTAAAGGACAAAAGTGTGAAACACATTTGGATTGAGTGGATGGATTGAGTGTACCAATGAAAACTGTGGAATGGATTCAACATAATAGAGGGCCAAAATCAAACATGTTCTGGAAAAGCCAAGCGGAGGAGGTGTGTTTTTAGGTGATTCTTAAAGACTGGCAGAGAAGGGGACAGCCTAACTGAGGGTGGCAACTGGTTCAAGAGTAACGGTGCTAGGACTGAGAAAGCCCGGTCCCCACGGGTACGACACCTAGACCGAGGGACAGCGAGCAGGCCTTGGTCAGAGGAGCGCAGAGCGCGTGATGGGGAATGTTTGTTCAGGAGAGTGGCCAGATAGGGGGGACCATCACCCTGGAAGAAATGATAAACAAAGACGAGGATTTTGAATTGTGAGCGATAGCAAATCGGAAGCCAGTGCAGGGAGGCCAGAACTGGACTGATGTGGTCCCGTTTCCTGGTCCCAGTCAGGAACCTGGCAGCGCTGTTCTGCACAACCTGTAGGCGACGCAGTGTTGACTGACACAACCCTGCATATAGAGAGTTGCAGTAATCAAGCCGAGAAATAACAAAGGCATGCAGTACCCGCTCCAGGTGGGCTCTCGACAGCATATGCTTGATTTTAGCAAGGCGTCTCAGGTGAAAGAAACTGGACCGGATCACAGAATTGATGTGAGCATCAAATTTAAGTCCTACATCAAGTTTCACCCCCAAACTGGTAACTGGTAGTGTCTGACTGCTCAGAGCAGGAAACCTGGGCTACAATTCCCACAAGATCACCAGAACTGTTAAATGTTTCCTGGTTGGAGGCTTTTAAGGTGTTGTCTGAAATAAACATGTTAAAATGGCAATAAGAGTCACCGGTGAGGCCATTGTTGAAAATAACAGTTTGATGCATAGTGGTCACTACAGTCGACAGTTACTCAAAATTGTTATTTATTTATTTTTGCTATTAAGCACAGCTGTTGAAGACTATTGCATTTGAGCCCCTCCATTTGGACTTCAGTAAGTCAAGCCAACATATTTCATGTTCAGAATGCACGCTGTCCACTGAGGTGGACATGTAATAAATTATTTGTAAACTATTAAATGTTACAAAAGATATTTGTTGAAATGTGTTTAATTCACACCTAAAGATGAATGGAAAAAATTGTTACAAAATCATGGTTGAAGATTTCATAATTCATGCATCAAAAGGTTAATGTGGCCATCAAGTTACATTAGTCCCTGGTCCCTCCCTCTGTTCAGCTTCGTGTTTGTGTCATTCAGACAAAAGCCATAAGAGCCTCCTACTCCCAACCCAAGTTTCAGAACTTCTCAAATGAAAGGTGAAACAAAACAAGCAAGAAAAGGTCCAGTTGATCCAGCTAAAGCTCGGAGATTACCATGCCCTGAATGACTGAGCATCTACACAAACCTTTGGAAAGTGGTGGAATGGGAGGTTCACATCATGGACAGTTGTGTGATGCTGTCGTGTCAGGCAGTTCTGAAGGCAAACAAGGTTTCAACCCTCCACTAGTAAGGTCCACTTAAAAGGGCCGGCAAGTTCATATCTCTCATTTGACAACAAAGAAAAGCTTCAAAACAATTTCTCACCTTAGGTGAGATCAAAGGCAGATCAAATGGAAAAACATGACAGGAGACTTATTAAGAATGCATTCATATGCATTTTTACCAAGACATGACTCAACGATAAGGAAGGACAAATTGCAAAGGGTGATCAAAACAGATGGTGTTATCCCTGATTATTAAAGACCTTCTTTGCAGCCTTTATATGGAGCTGTGATTCATGAGTTTTTGATGTGTTTACCATGTGTCAGTTCACCTTTGTCATATGTTCACACTGTACATGATGTCATCAGGTTCATGGTTGGCATTACAAAGACAATACCAAGATGCATTCAGACTGACTATAAGATTAAATATACATATATATACATATATATATATATACATATATATATACATATATACATATATATATATATATATATATATATATATATATATATATATATATATATATATATATATATATATATATATATATATATATATATATATATATATCTTTACAGCCTGGCAATCCATCCTCCACATGTGAATAGTTAGTCTGGCTATGACCCAGACAGAGCTCAGTTTTGGGGCAGAATCTACAGTTGTACCTCTATCTGCTCTTGGCTCAAAGAAAAGCCCAAGTCTAAATTGTCCAGCCGTTCTGAATGAGCCAACCCCATCTGAGTATGTATGTCTAGATTTCTAGGCTAGATTTTAGTTTCAGTTTTAAGGATTACAGGTCCGTCTGGTTCCAGGGATTTTGTTTTAACCCGTTTTTAATTAAATACCTCAATCTGCTCGACTAAAAGAAAAGCTCAAGTCTAAATAGTCCATACTTGATGCCAAATTCATTTCTTTTTTTTTTTTTTTTTTTTTTTTTTACCGTGTCCTGTCTGGCTGTGAAGCAAGCAGAATTGATGTCTGAATGCTGGTGACAAGCCTTACAGATTTATTCTCAGGTGGAGCATCAAAGCGTTTGCTTTTAATGTCACGCCTGATACTTAAACTTTATTGTTATTGTTGTTGAATGCTTTGTAATTCCGACCAGACACGGAGACAGAGGTGAAAGAGAAAGGAAGAGAAAAGGTGGAGAGAGAGGGGGGGTTCCACAAAAATAAACAATGAACAAGAGTCTGCTTCTAAACCTGCAGAAAAAGACAAAAAAAAAACAAAAGGACACAAAAAAGGGACACAACAACAATACAACAAGATCTACCTATCACTGCGTCAACTTGATGAAAAAAAAAACAAAAAAAAAAACAATATATATATATATATATATAATCAACATTGCTTAACTGAAGAATCACGATAATAAATCACAATGCATTAAGTGCCCCCCATAGTCTTAAGACATGTGTTGAACGTGCCCAAGCCCATACTTTTGAGAGCACCATGTGAGCACCTGTGTGTGTACACGCGCTTGTTTATTTAAGGTTTCTCTATAGGAGCGTCCAACAGAGAGTGTGAGGGACCACAGATCCGCCCCCCAAAGATGCGCAGGAGACGGGGGGAGCTCCAAGTCCCAGAGATCCAGGCGTTGCCCCAGAATGCAGGAACCCCAAGGAGACTGCAACCAGAAAGGCCCCCGCCCCCCTCGAGAGGCACAGAGGATCGCCCCGGGGGGCCACAACCAGCAGCCGGCAGAGTCCCTGGAGATATCAGCGGCAATCCCACAGGCCCGCCCGCAGCCTCCCACCCCCTAGCCGGTCGAGCCCGGGACCCAGCGACCCAGGACCCAGGGGTGACCACCCCCGCCGGGGACCCAGCAGAGCCCAGGGACCCAGACCC